CGAAAGTGTGGAGTAGCAGTTATTCCAGTCCTCCCGTTGATAGGGAGACTGAAGCAGCAAGAAAAGCCCACCCCTGCTCCCCTCCCCTCCCAGTCTGCAAGAGGAGATGTGCAGCAGCTGCTCCTCCCATCTTCCCCAGATTTGCGGGGGAGTAACCCCAGGCTCAGGAAAGCACAAGGAACGTTTCCCTGCTGTTCAACTCCATGTTGAGCAGTAGTGGGGAAGTCTATAGACATCTGTTCTATGGGGAGAAACTCTTCGGAGTGACCTCTGTCCAGTTAGAGATGGGTTATTTTTTCTCCCAGAACTGCAGTTTTGATTCTGGGAGAGACTGTGTAAACACCTGTATTCTCATGGGTTCTAATGAGAGATCTACAATTCTTCTGGCAGAAATGTAGCACCTGTATATAGCCATTGACTCGCTTCTAGATTGAAAGGATATTGAGCCAGAGATCATTGTGAATTATCCAGCATATAGAAGGAGAGAGAGACGAGAAACACAGGCTGTAACCATCATTTTACTAGCCCAAATTTCACGTTTTTGGATATTTCAGGCTTCTATATGGTTAATCTCAATTTCCTGATTGCAAAATCTCCATTTCATTCCTGGGGAATGTGCGCCACCATTAACTTTCAGCAGAAACTGAAAGCTTGATCCTGTTCTACTGAAGTCAGTAGCACTGCCCTGGATATACAGCATTCCTTAATCTGTGTTTCTACCTTCGTACACCCATTAAAACTAGAAACATACATGATTAAAAGAGGTTAGGTCAGTAATCAGTTGATTGAAAGTGGCCAGCATACTTCACCCCTTCCAGTTGCCCATCAACCAATATGGGAACAGGTAAAGTTCTACTCTTGAATAGTGACAGAGATTCAAACCTTCAGACTAAAACAAATTTAATTTTCTAAAATCAGAATGACAACTTTTGAAGTAACCTTAAGGGTCATCTAATACAACTTCTTGCACACATGGAGGATTTTCTCTTCCTAAATATTAATCTCAAATAATTTTACCAGTTTTTTCAACTGTCTACCTTGACTTAGGTTCTGAGCAATTTATACAAATAATTATTCCTCAAGAATTATCTTCTGTTTTAATAAGGTCAGAGAAATAACTGGCATAAGGCAGAGACCTAAACTTACTATTTTTTCTTTTTTCTTTCTTCTATTCTTTAAACACGTGAAAAAAAATTCTTAGACAAAGTATGGTCTTTTAGAGAGTTAGATCAATTTATATCTATTTTGCATCCAGATTAGCCTAAGTACTTGAATTAACCTATTGTCTCAAATCCAGATTTTATAAATAGGATTGAATGTGAAATATGAGGCGTTTATCCAGCTTTGGGAAGTTCCAAGAATCAAGAATTCTTATTCTTGATTGATTCAAGAATTGCACAAGTGTGTATTGCATATGAAGATCTGTATTGCATCAGTGCCAGATGTTAAAATTGTTTAATTTTCATGTTTTAAATTATGCATCCATTATATAGGAAAAGTCTCTTTAAAAGCTTAGAAACTATCATTTAGTGAGAGTAGCTTACTTGAAGTACTTCTGAAATTAAATTAATTTTCTAAAATACAACAAAGCATTGTCTCCTTTCCCTTTTGTCTATTCAAAAACTCTTTCACCTGATTTTCAAAGATGCATAACCCCTAATCATTTTAGTGGGATTTTTACTGGAGGTAGCACTTCTAAAAAATCAGGTCACAAGTTTTTTCAAAAAGCCACATTTTTCTACTTTAGGAATTCTATCAAGTCATTGACATTTTAGCACCAGATCCCCAAACATATTTGATATGGGTGATTTGAGGATGTACAAGTGAATTTATGCTATATTTAAGTATATATGAATGTGATAATATAGTAGCTTTTAATAAATAAGAAATATTATAAATTAAAGGAGTATATTCAAGATGTTATTACTAAGATTTAAAAATATATGTATGTTTGAGAGTGAAAAAATAAAACAGCTTTCTGATATATTACTAAGCAATTACTGCTCAGTGTGTGTCTTTGAGAAAGCAAAAACAGTATTATGTAGAGTAGCTATTTTGTAAAAACAGCAGATGGGATTTTAAAATCAATTTTTATTGATCAATATTTATCAATTTAATGTACTTAATTGTATCTTGATCACTTCCCTATTTTCAGTAACTGAATGTCAGAGTATTTTGCATTTCTCTGAATAAAATAATTGGCAAAAATTCACAGACCTAACAGTCAGAAATCTAAACCACAAATAAAACAAAGTATTAACAATACTTTTAAAAAATGTGACTCACCAGTTAAAAAGTTAACTGTGTGTGTGGGGAGTAAGATATTACAAAACTATAATAATATTTTTATTATAGTTTTTTTTATATCCTTCTCCCCACACACACTCAAAGGCAAATGGTTCCAACTACCTTCTGTTCTGGGGGAAAGTAAACTTGCTAATATGTAGTTAAGATTTATCATATGAAGAAGTGACTGAAGACAGCTACAGATGGAAGTTGGAGCATGTTCCCAGCTGTCCTGGGTAAGAGGAGGTTACTTCTATTAGAAAAAGAGTTGCTAGCCCCAAATTAAAAAAATAAAAGATGGTGGCCTTCTGCTAAGATGGGGAGTACAGAATTTATGGAGACTGTGGAGACTGCTGAACTCCAGCTATTTGAATTTTCAGATTATCTAGATAACAGTGAAATAGTATGATATTAGATTCATAGTGCAGAAACAGATGGGAGAAGAGCCAATGTTGAGAATGAACATAGGCCCCACAGTTCAGCTGGAGATGCCAATTCAGTTGCAGAAGATACTGTTGGGAAAAGTTGGGAAAATATTTCCATTCCACAGTATAGGAAATGGAAAATATTTCTTCCCTGTTTCTTACTGGATTTTAACTAGGATGAAAATGGAAGCAGTTAGAAATCTGTCCCTCTGTTTACCACAGCAAGAAAAGAAGAAACAATTGCAGGAGGGGTTAGATTACCTTTTCCATTTTTTCACCAGTAAACAACAGATAGCTTCAAAATGATTAATTTAGAAGGGAGGGTTAGTAAGCAGTGTTAGTCTGAAGTCAGAAGAAGGCAGAGCAGGGTGGTACCTTAAAGACTAATTTATTCAAAAAGACATAAAAATTGTAAGCGGCAGCCTACTTTGAGACATCTTTTGCTCCCACTCTAATTGGGTAGAGGATGAGGGGGTGAGCTGTTGCATATGCATATTCAGTGAACTGGGAGAATTATCCTGGGTTTGTTTTCCTGGTAGAAAAATTTACCCTGAGACCTGGGGCCTTTAGGCCACATATAGACATTCGTTTTTTTTCCTGGGAGAGGCACTTTTGTCCCAGGAGAAACCAAGAAGGTATAGAAGTTCAGGATTTTTCTCCTAGATCAAAATGGCTGCTCCAAGAGAAAATAATGTAGAAGCAACCAGGGTTAAATCTTTCCCAGGAGAGATTCTCCTAGAAGAGCAAACGTCTGTACATCTTAGACCATCTCCAACTTAATCAAATTATAGCACTTAGGTTTTCTATTAGCCTGATCATGTGTATTTTACCAAAGCAAGGGAGGATACTTTATTCCAGACTCCACATACTAGTTTGGTGAATTTTCACACAATTTGCTACTTTGTTTTATCTTCAGCCAGAGGTGGGCAAGTATTTGGACGGGGGGGGGGAACCACTTTATGAATTTTGGTGAGCTGTTGAGGACCTCATGCGTGTACACATACATGTGTGCATGGACACACATGCAGGTACACACGCACATGTAAGCTCCCTGCAGCTAAGCTAGGGCTGGCACCAGAGCAGCAGCAGGAGAATGGGCTCTTCCTCATGGACCAGTTCTCTCTTTAAATAAGGATCCCTATGCTCAGATAGTTTGAAACTGTTACAAAGGAGGTTCAAATCATTTGGCATTCAAACTGATGCAGCACGTACTCAATTAAAACAATTTCTAGCAAATGCTAAATTCACTAGAGATGCAACTTTCTCTGAGAGAAAAGAAAATTTGAAAAAGAAAGAAGCAAAGAGATAATCAGCAAAGACGGAGAACAATGTGCTCAAAGTTGGCTGGAATACACATTACAAAAGTTTCTTTTGTTCTTTACAGCAACCTAATTACCCAAGCAACAGTAGATTCCTGACAAAAACTCTAGAAAACAAAGGTGAAGGAATAGCAAGATGAATTGGGTATTGAGGACCCAATACCATCCCAGTTTAAGAAGAATGCCTTTTGAACAGCTTCTCTCAGTTCAGAACACGAACAAATGGCTGTAATAATAAGTTTAAGTTCTAGAAACATCTTGAAACCATCAAGATGGCTTCTGGACCCAAAACCAGAGGACCTTCCAAATTGTTCAGATATCCTTTTTTCTGATAATGATATTCACCATTAGGCTTATTCACTCTTGGAAATTTCCTTGGGTTGCATCCATCCCTTTCTTGGTCCCAAAGAAATAGTGATTTGTGAACTGACACACAAGTAACTGAAACACAGGTGCTTTGAAATCTAATATCTTAGGATGCTTTGTCTCCATTTTTCAAACTGGAACATAACTGACTTAAAATAGACTTCACATTCTAAATGAGGAGTATAAAGGTCTCCCAAAAATACATGTCAGAAAAGCAGTTGTGTGCCTCACTCCTCCAGTTGGAAAAACAATTATAATAGCTGCATAGCCGATAAATATTTTATTTTACCACATTGCGCACACATGCTTTAATAGGTAGGCTTATATAAGTTTCTAATTTAATAATAGAGTCCAATTTTCTAGTTTTTGCAGAAAGGTGCTCTGAAGTTTTCCTTTTTTTTTGTCAAAAGACCAATATTTTCTTCTAAAAAATAAAAATATTTAAAATATAAAGGTCATGCCGGTTAGTTTCGAGTCTTTGCAGATAAAGTGAATAAGTGCTGCTGTTCTTACCTATTTAGTATCTTACAGAATATGCAGAGTTTGTTTCTTCATATGTTTTCCCAATAACAATGAAAGATAAAGCTCTTTCTTTCATCCCTAGGTAGTAAGGAGGAATTCGTTCACTCAAATAATACTTCAGCTGAGAAATTACAAATGAGCAGAGAATTTACATACCAATGGCTTCATACACAGGTTTGGGATTTTGAAGCAACCAGTTCCAGAAATGTAAAATGGTGAGGTCATTGATTTTAAATTAGATTTTTGTATTGTAAATACAGCTTGTAAAGTGAAACCTGGGCTAATTGTCCTAAAAGAATAATAGCTTTATAGCCAAAGGCCAGTACACTACATTGCCAGGTCCCAAACTAATTTCCATTTAGAACTGATTTAATAATTTTATGGATACATCTTTCATAAATGATAGTGAATTAGTATGTTTCCTCAGTAATGATCTGTCTTATGTTAAAATACTTGAATGGTTTATTGCCAGAAATATGAGGGATTATATTCTAAAACAAGTACAGAAATGTACCCATGCATCACATATTGCATGATTATCTTTTCTGTATATATTAAAATTATTATAGTCTATTAGTTACTCAGATTATATGCATGTTAATAGAATGGATTAAGGAACAAAATAAAACCTTTTAAATCAGTAATGTCTATGTGCATTTTATATTTACAACCCTAAAATAAGTTAAATTAATACTACTTTGACATACACAGTACATTTCAATAAGATATTTTGAAATACCCATTTTTGTGGTTTGGATTACTTAACAGATATAATACAAATATGGTTTTATAAAAGATTCATCTTTATTCCTTAAACTAAGAGGATAACAAACAAACTGTATCCAATGTATATAGGTCATAAACTCAGTATAGAACTTGTTTCCTCATGCTATAAATGGAATCTGCAAGAGCTCAGCAGTTCTGAAATGGGCCCACTGTCAATCTACATCATATTTAGTGTGATTTTTTTAAACTTTTTTTTAAAGTGATTCAAATAAAATTATTTTGTGAAGAAATAAACTTTTATTTGTTTTTCCACATTTCTTGACTTTTCTAAATTCTGAGTATCAAATGAATAAGTAGAAGAATAAACTGCCACAAATGTATTATATTTTTAGAAAACATTTATTTTTAATGCAGTCAACTAGGTTCCTTAATAGTGAGGTTTGTAAGCTCCGGGCATGTCTACATGTGCCATTAGGAGGCAGCAATAAACTGTGGAGCTTAATTCTCCACAGTGTGTTGCTCCTGGGATGCTGCCAGACACGTCTGCATGTGCTTCCAAACCACAACATGTTGAGCTGGGTCACAGCATCCATCCTCACAGCAGGAAGCCAAGGAGTCAGCCTGCCAGCCCAGGGCTGCTCAGATAAAGTGCACTGTGCTGCCGAGGGGCTGGCTGGGGTATGAAGGTGCTTCAGCGCAGGGCTATGTGGCAGGCAGTCCCGGCACTGAAGCACCCTCATGCCCCAACCAGCCAGTCAGCATTTACACGTGCATTGCTGCACACAAAAAACTCCATAGCAGAGTAGTACTTGTATTTGCAAGTACTATCCTGCTGCAGAGTTTATTCATTTTGTGCACCCGACTAGGGCTGCACGTGTAGACACTGACACATTTACCGTGCAATTAGTCAACTGCACAGTAAACGTCTCATGTAGACACGCCCTCCAGGCATTTATGATCGTTCACTGCTTTTAGTTCACACATTTTGCAGAGGAATGTGGAATGATTTTCAAACATAAGAAAATATAGTAATTTAAGGAAGGAGTTTTAAAATGTTATTAAGTTACCTTTGCAGATATGTGGAGTATATTAGTATTTAGACTGACATTTGTGAAGATCATTTAGAAATTTTAGATATTTTCTTTCTGGTCCTACTGCTGAAGTGAGTGGCAAAACTTCCATTGATATGGCAACATGATTAGGTACAGTGCAAAAAAATAGCTGATTGACGTATCTAACTGAAAACAACTTGATTGCTCCAAAAAGTAAATCTAACAACCGATTTGATACAATCTTGCAATTACAAGACTGAACCACAGCCCACTGAAGTTAGTAGAAGCATTTTCATTTTTTTTCCAAAGGATTTTGGATTGGGCTATAGTGGCCGCATCTACATGAAATTCTGACTCTGTGGTAGCTCGTTACTACTGTGCAATAGTGTCAAATGCCACAAAACGCAACATGATGCTACTATGCAGTAGTAATGAGCTACTGCACAGTCAGTATCACCAAAAAGCCATTAGGCGACGCTACTGCATAGTAACTTGTGTATGTAAGTACTAAATGATTGTGCAGTAACAACTGTGAAGTCAGTCTCAAGTAGACACAGCCAGTTTGTACTAATTAATATGTAGAAAGTCCAGTCTTTCCAGTGACTGGCTGATTTCCTTATTGAGAATTAACATATTTAAAATACTTTCAACATATGCTTTAAACATAGAAATATGTTAAATAAATTGACTGTGTTTAGCTAGCTGTATTGTTTTCTCTCTTGAGCAAGATTATTCCCAAAAGTTCCTAGGGAAATATCTTAATTATTTTAGTTCAGTCAGTGTACTTAAGCTCTTACTGAAATATTTGTTCTCTTTAAATCGCCATACAGCAACCGCTTCTTGCCGGATTTAAACCCAGAAGTATGCAATGGTGGGCGCGTTCAGCTTGTGGTAAGGCATGTTTTTCAATGCAGAATTTTAAAGAATCCCAACTAATATTTTCAATTATGTGCATGATGTGAAAAACTAGTATAAAGTTTGTCTCCTTGGACAGAAGTCCTTAACTTAGATCCTAATCTTCTATTCAGACTCTTATGGGTGGATATGACAGAGTACCACTGAGGACCACGAGGTTAGATACGGGCACAAGTTTACTTGCCCAGCCAGATATAGAATATAATTTTAAAGTGAAAATGTATATATCTTTCTTTAGGATTTTAAAAATAAAAATAGATTCATTCCATTTCATACCCAAATAAGTTTGTGATATTTATTTTGATTATATATATTTAGATATTCTTAAATTCACCCCTAAACAGTTAGAGACAACTGTTTGTCTAATCTTCTCTTACAAAACATCCAAGGCTGGGGAACCCAGTACATCTTGAGATAGTCTGCTCCAATGCTTAACTGACCTTAGCAACACCAGGGACGTCATCCTCCTGCTTTATTCAGCCTTAGTGAGGCTGCAGTTTGGAGTGCTGCATCCAGTTTTGGGCCCCCCACTTCAGGAGGGATGTGGATAAGCTTGAGAAAGTCCAGAGGAGAGCCACCCATATGATCCAAGGCCAAGAGTGCAAGCCTTATAAGTAGAGGCTGAGGGACATGGAACTCTTCAGCCTGGTGAAGAGAAGGCTCACGGGGGACTTGGTGGCTGCCTGTTAGGGTTATATGAAGCTTCAGTTGCTGATTCGATTCTGTCAAGATTTGGCCACTTTCAGTGGCTGAATTTCCAAATCCGAATCAAATCAGGAGACTCTTTAATTTCTCTGAATTAAATCAAAACACTCTGAATCGATTCGGAAAGATTCAATGATTCGGACAAAGACTCAGCTGTAATTGTTTTTTCTACGTACCTCAAGGTACCAGATGGCTTGTGAATGCTGAGATGGTGGGGCAGATGGAGCATCCCACGGGAGCGTGAGGGCCATCGTGCCCAGCAGCAGACCTGGAAGTAGACCAGAAGCACTTCCGGTCCACTTCTGGGTCTGCTGGGAAGCACGCCCATCATGCCTGGCTCAGCAACTGGTGCCTCCTGGGTCTGGGAGGGCACTCAGAGTCCCCCCGTGGCCAATCACTGAGCTGGGGGGGGGGGGGGGCACGGTGGCGGACCCGGAAGTGGACCAGAAGTACTTCCGGTCCACTTCTGGGTTCACCGCTGAGCACACGAGGGTCCCCCCACACTCCTGTGGGACGCTCCATCCGCCCCTCCATCATAGCGTTCATGAGCTGTGCCTGGTACCTTGAGGTATGTAGAAAAAACATTTAAAGCAGAAATATGTCTATGGCCGAATCACTGATTCTCTGAATCAGCATCAAATTTTTAGGTTCGACTGAACCGAATCGGGGACAGTGATCTGAATCAACTAATCGAATCACTCTCCCGGATTTGGGCCAAATCCAAATCCAGTACAGCCTGTTTTGCACACCCCTACTGCCTATAAGTATATAAGCGGGGTACATCAGGATCTAGGAGAACACTTGTTTACCAGGGTTTACCAAGGGATAACTAGGTCTAACAGCCACAAACTTCTAGAAGGCCAATTCAGACTCGATATAAGGAAAAACTTCTTCACAGTTTGTGTGTCCAAGGTCTGGAATAGACTCTCCCCAGGGGCGGTGCAAGCACCTATTCTGGACTCATTCCAGAATATTATCATTTATCAACTTAAAAGGCAACTAGAGGATCAATATAATACAGAACCCCCCTAAACAAGATCCCAGCTCAGCTTTGTTTACTAAATGCCTGCCCAAATAGGAAGGTCTTACAGCTCTTCTGAAAGATGTCCAGGCTTGGGCTCTGGCAGGCATCAAGGGGATGGGAATTCCAGAGCTGAGGAGCAACTGCTGAAAACAGTTTCCCACATACTTTTCCCAGGCAGACTTAGTATATTGATGCTATTTGCAGGATGTTACTCCTAGCTAATCTTAGGGATCAGAATGGGGCATAAGGGAAAAGGTAATCCCTTAGATACATAGGACCCAGACCGTTTCAAATCCTAGACCACCACCTTGAATTTTGCCCAGAAAACTTGTGGAAGCCAGTCAGACTCTGGATCACTGGACTTACATGCTTCTAGTGACTGATTCCTGTCAGAAGGCATGCCACTGTGTTCTGCACCAGCTGCAGCTTGCAGACAGTCTTCAAGGGCTGCCCCACATAGAGCACATTTCAGTAGTCTACCTGCAGCCCTATGCTAAAAAAACCTGAGGCTGCAGTGCCTGGTCATATGAGAAATAGTGGTAGAAATATTGGTGACACGTTGCGGGGCATAGGGGAGCATGCCCTCCCCCCAGATTTCTATACCAACAGTGGGGCACGGGCACGTGACTTTAGCCTGGCTGGAGCCAAGGCCCAGCAACATTGGGAGTGGCAGTGCCAGCGCAATTTCTGCACCAACATTGGGGCATGGTGCTCTAGGTGAAGATGATCGACTAAAGTCACGAGCACAGTCTCTGTGCTATATCCAGACAAGGATCCAGGAATCTGATAGCATCCAGATGCACCTGGGCAACCACCCATTCAAAGACTTTCCTCAAAATGGGGAGGTTGGAGACAAGGTGATAACTGGCTGGAGAGTTAGCATCAGACAATGGTTTCTTGAGTAGGGACCAGACAATTGCAGATTTAAGAATATGCAATTCCCTTCCCCCGCCACATAGGAGGCATTAGCAACTCCTGCCATCTGTGGCCCCAGGCTCTGCCATTGGCTTAAACAAGCCCCAGGAACTTGATCCAAAGAACTAGAGCAACATAAAGAAGCTAGAAAAGCCCCTTGTTATCCGTGGCAGACACGGTTCTTTGGGTAAATCCAATATCTGTTATTAGACCAACTCAAATAGTTAGAAAAATTCTTCTTTGCAAGCTTTCGGATACAGATACCCTTTGTCAGGTTGGCACATGAACATCAGAATAGTCAGAGGCTCTCCTTTAAGCACCTTCTCACAAGCTCTAGCATAAGGTGTGAACGTAAAGATGGAAATGGCATGTTAGGAGCAGACAACACTGCAGTCTCTCAAAGGAGAGCCTAGAAAAGCTCTTGTTATATAGCCTCCCATTGCGGTATAAATTGTGCAAGGGAGACACATTAGTCCTTCAGTAACCCAAACTGAAGATAATCCAGGGTAGCCATCTTAACCTACTTTGTATATTCTATGTTCTGTCTCTTAATGGCCCAGCACAAATTTTTACCCTTAAATTCTGTCAATATTGTACACTGATGGTAGTCTAAAAAAAACAGGTAACCAAACAAAGGGAAAATTACATACGTATAATTGCATACATAATTATACATATGTATAATTGCAATTTATATATAATGTTAATGGTTTATAAACCATTCTGCTATCGTTCTTATTTTCAACTGAGGTAATGTCAAAATGTTCAAGACAGTTTCCAAAAATTGAGGAAGATACAACATCCCCAGAGGATGCACAAAGCAGGGGCTCTCTGAGACAGTGTAGGCAAGCAGGAATATAGAGAATTGGACTGACAATTCAGAGCCAGTAATTCTCTGTTCTGTCATTGACTTGTTGAGTAACCATAGGCAAATCGTTTAATCTCTTTCTTCCTTAGTTTTACCATTTGTAAAATTGTTGTAAAGATACTGACCTTTTTGTTTCCTTTGTAAAGCACTTTGAAATCTATTAATAAAAAACTGTTGGACTCTATGACTTTAGATGGCTATGATTATTATTTTGGGGTAGAATCTTAAACAGGCATTATACCAAGCTGAAATGGTTTATAAACCATTAACATTATATATAAATTGCAATTATACATATGTAATTTTCTATAAATGTATATACGCGTAGGTAGATATAAGTAGTATATACTAAGCAGTTTTGTCCACAAAATACTTTGCAATCCCACAGCAAAAACAGCAGAGATTTTGTGGTGCGCCCACATAACTGGCAGTGCTATAAGATTGTCACAGCTTACGCCACATAATTACACAGCTGCTCCACATAAACATATTAGACAGGAAAATGCAATGGAAGGTCTCATAAAATAGAAAACGGAATAAAATGCATCTCTAATGCTGCAAACAGTGTGTGTATATGTAATGAAATAATGATGTGGTTTGTACACATTATTGACTCTAAAATACAGTTAAAAAATATTTACATTAGTTTTCCTAGATTTTGCTTGTTAAAATTTGAATATATTATGTATGTTTTTATAATCCAGTTCAGTTCAAAGCTGTAAAATCAGAACCAAAAATAAGTTAACATTTAGCAGCATTCAAAATGACACGGGAAGGAGAAATGTAGGCACGCTCAAAGAGAACAAACATATGCATTCAAAAAAAGAAAAGCAGCACATGCAAATTCTGTCATCCCCTACATATTCAGAAAAAAAAGATGTTGCTACTGTGTTTTACACTGGTAGATAATAATATAGTGCCTCATAGTATGCCATGATTTGTATTTAACTCTTGATTCTGTGTAAGAGAATTAAAATTACTTTTCTTTTTCAGGATTTCATTTTAAGATGAACCTTTAAAAACCTTATTACAGAGTGTACTATAGCTATGAGCTATAAAATCCTTCAACAGTGACATTTCTGCCCATTCCATGAATGTACAAAGCTTTTTTTCTGATAAAATATTATCCTTAAACATCATAATAAAAATTAAATCTCAGGATGATGAAATGTATCAGTTTACTAGTTAAGGCTACTCAAAGTCTTTGAGAGAGAGTGAAGAGTAAGCCACTAATTCAGCAAAGTCCTTAAGCATATGTCTAATGCTAAGCACATGAAGAGTTCACTGACATCCACTATATTACCTACATTTATAGAACTTTTTTTTTAATCTTAGAAGATCACAAAGTGTCTTACTGGTTTAATAAAGTAATAAATATACAATTCAACAGTTGCGTTCAGTACAGGTAGACATTCCTATTGGGTGAAATTAATTTCCAGTTAATTTTAAAAGACTTTTTTATAGCAGGAGTGTCAAATGTATGGCCAACAAGCTGGAAGTCACCTGCAGAGCCCTTTAATCCAACTCCTGGTGCTGCCCTATGGACCAACACACTATGCTGGACCAGCCCTGCACTGCATGCGGCACTCACTGGGCCTGGGTTCCAGGCTGCGCTGCCTGCAACATTTGCTGAGGCTGAGTCCCATGTGTGCTGGATCAGGCATGAGAGCAGGGGCCCATGGACCTGATCTGGCCTATGGACCTGATGAGTTAGGTACCCCTACTTGACAGGAATAAGACTAAAACTGAAATACAGAGAGTTAAATATTCTGTCACTTGTTCAGTTGAAATGCTTTATACTTTTGTTCTTAAAAATTCTGATAAAATGTTAAAATGTGTTGGATTTCTGCTTCAGTTTTAAACCTGAGCTATTGGATTCCAAGAGAATATTTCCATTGACTTCTGAAAATTTTGAATTTGGCCTTTCCTGAAGTTTGGATCAAATTTGGCACAGTAGTTAGTGAGTTTTTAATTTTTTATATTATTTTAAGAAAGTATACTTTGCTGTGATTTATTTTAGCTGGTATAGCAACAAATATCATTAATAGTTATAAATCCAGTTAAAAAATTGCCCTGGCTTACTCATTTAATATTACTGGAACCTTTTGCTTTGCCATTTTTGAGCCAAAATTAACCTTGTGAAAATTCCATTTTTGCCATTGGGAAACAGTCCGGTATGTGTGAAATAAAAATATGAATGATCTATCAACCCTGTTGAATTTGAATCCCTGTACGTATCAAAATGACTGAGCTATGTATGTAAACTGAAGGAAGACAGCCTAATTTTCAAAGATATTGATCTCCTGTAATTTCTTTCAGTTTTAACATACCCCTCTAAATAAGGCCAAAAATAACCATTTTTTTGCAGTGGAAAAGTGAAACAACATGCAGATCATTGTAATACTATCAGTTAAGAGAAGATTGTGTATTAAACTTACCAGGACAGCTACCAGCCAGCGGAAAATTATTTTGAACTTCAAGTTAGAGGCAGTCTTAATGAGTACCTGTGAGTTCACAATCCCAAGAGTAATATCTGTGGAACAGGGTATCTTCCGGGTCATTGTTTCTACACCATGCTTCACAAATTCCCGAGATCTGAAACCCCCTTCTAAAGCAAAAGTTACATTTTCAATTCTATTTTGTTTTATATAGTTTTATATACCATCCCCACCATCAGCATATACAATCATTGCATTTTAGAAGATTATAATTAATATAAAACTCTTACCTAAAGTATAATTTAAATGCTTTCTGATGGGTATGGTTAAGTAGCAAACAGCTAAAAGATTAAATTACTTACTGGATGCTTGATTGATAGAACTGATACTTGCCCTGGATAAAACATAAATGTTGCAGAAAATAATCCAGTATGACATTTCTGGCATTCAGCTATGACTTAAATTATAGGCTGGTCAGTAAATGATCTTAAGCTGTTTAAGGTTTCATCAGCTGTATGCAAGATTGATTTTCTTCAAAATTACTGTACTAAAATGTTTTCTTTTGTTGTTGTACTGACTCAGATCACAAACCACAATTTTAAGATCGGCTCTTATTTACAAAAATGCTTTGACATAGTGCATTTGTTCAGCCTAGGCAGCAATAAAGGATTGTGGTATCATTTTGAAGAAGGTTGTTTGACAGAGCCTGTTTGTTTATTTGGGGTAATGTGAGCTGCATTCAGAAAATGTCATATTTTGTTTCATGATTGTGTACATTCTCTCCCACTGCTCCCAGGCAAGCCCTGTAAGTAGAGAAGACACAGATTTAGACCTTGTTTCCATGACCAGTGGAAGTGCTTTGACTCAGAACAGAGAAAAAAATAATCAGGCGCACAGACACTTAGCAGGATCTTCAAGTAAGTTGTGGTTTCTTTCAATATTCACTTTAAAAATTACTTTAAAATGAGTTGGTGGAATTGAATGTCTAACTAAGTTCTTATATAAACAGAGGTAGCATACCAGCCTCCCAGATTTCTAGTAATGTGTATACTTGTTTACTACTTACCTGCAACTTTCACTTGTGTTTTACATATTTATATATAAAAGCTTAAATCAGTTGAAAAATTAACATGATTAGATTTTTTTCTTTAATTCCCTGGTGAGCTATACTAAATCTTTTGTTCATTCATTTCCTAGAAAAAAATAATGTATTTCTATCTCTTAATTATAAAAGCAGTTGTATACTCCATTTTTTTTCTTACTTCCCTAAAAGTTAACTAAATATTTAGGAAAATTCATTATATACAAAAAATAAGTTCTAGTACATGTTTCCAAATCAAATCACATACTGAACTGAAATCATGACCTGAGTTAGATGTTGTAAGTAATGACTATTGCATTCTAGTTACACAGTGGCAAGTGGTTCTTTTAAATTTTAGAAAAACTAATACTATGTTAATGTCACAGAAATACACTGAATAATTGATACCTGAGAGAAGTGATCTAATAATTATTTGAAAAGCTTAAAAAGTATGAATTTTATTAAGCTTAAACTTTTTCTTCTTGTAGTAAATCTAATTAACAAAAACTGGGAAAACATCTGTCAGAGTACATTCTATGTTATTTATATTTTTATTCAATTGTTGGAAAATGTGATTTTTTTTTTTTTTTGCAGAATTGAATGAACTCAGAAACACTAAATGACATAAGAGGAAGTACAAAAAGTATTAAATGACCTAGACAGATTTGTGCAGGTCACTAATATTATATATGTGGTGGAGTTTTATTTCTGATTGTTCATATCAAAGTAAAATAGCCTATTTCAACAACAACAATCATAGCTGATTACTGGTGTCAGTTATTTTGATCAAACCTTTAGCTATTGCTATGATTATTGATTAATTTAAATGAAAATTGAACCTATAAGTGAAAAATCAAGTAAATGAAATTCCTAAAGGAAAAGCAGATACAAAAGCATATGTAATTTTCTTTATCTAGATTTTGCTTAAATTTTGTTTCAGCTTTTAAAATAAAGTGAACTGAAGGTAGAACACAGCTAGTGTTAAAATCCACTATCAGCAAAAAAACCCCATCAGTGACTCTAATCCTGTGCCTATGTCAATGGTAAGAAGTCCAAATAACATGATATGGAATAGGATTGAACCCAGTATTTTCATTGGTATACAATGTGAAAAACTCTTAATAGTTGTCCATAAAATTATGTTCATGCATTTGTGTATTTTATCTGCAATTCTATGCAATATTTCATTATTATACATATCCTAAATAATACAGATGTATGAATCTCAAGTGATACATCATAATAGTGTATTAATATACTTTATATATTAAATATATAAGTATATTGTGTATTAATATTATAACAAACCTATTTTTCCACCCATAAAAGTTTAAATGTTCCCTTGCTTCAACCCCAGAAATGGCAGCCTTTTCATGGCATAAAAGTTCATAGTAAACAGTTTGTGTTTTGTTCATTGTAACAGCAAAGTGCCTTGGGATCCTTTGGAATGAAAACATGAAGATGATATTGTTGTAGTCAGTAATGCTAGTTAATATAGAGGGGTTTTTATAACTGACCAAGTAAACATATTAGTTTTAAAAAAATGAGATGCATCTGATGTTAAAAGAAAGTCTAGCAGGCAACTGCCAGCACGGGTGCCAGCGTTTAACACTTAAAGGCATTTTGCTTGGCACATGCCTTGGGAGGGGCCAAGACTGCACTGCCACAACAAGGATCGGGCCCTTTGTGGTTCCCCCACCATCTACCCCTAGCACACCAACATCTTACAAGTCAAGGTCATGGGTGTTTTGGCACTCTGCCTAAAAACATTGCTGACCCCTGGTCTGGTCTGTATAATTCAGTGGAGTTGTTTTTCGTGAGCCATGTGTGTTTGCATGAAGATGGCCTTGTACTTATGCCACGGGTACTATCCCTTCCCTAACTTAAAGCTTCTTGAGAATGTCTAAACCAAGTTTTTTCAGCAGTGCAGACTTGTATACATTATCTACTTTAGACATCAGAGTCAAAACTTCATTGTTACAGGCACTATACAATAGATATGGAAAGATGTTCCTGCTCACAGTCAACAATTCTCATTCATAGAAGCAGGTGGCATTTTAAAATAGTGCTTATATAGATTATTAGACAACCACTTGGTAACCAAATAGTAAGTGCCCATACTATTGAAATCTTGGCCAAAATGATGAGCAAAAAACACTACAATGAGGCAAATAGTACTATGAAGTGCAACCATTTTAAGAAAAACAAAAAAGAGGACAGATGGCATTACAGTCCAGCTAGTTTAACTCAATATCTGAAAAGCAGTCAGCTTGTAAGCACTAGAGGAAAATTAAAACAGTAGGCAGAATGGGTTAATAAAAAACATCATGCTAAACTAACTTAATTTCATTCCTTGATACGATAATGAGTTTAAGGGATAAAGGAAATGAAGTGGACATAGTATATCTCAACTTCAGTAAAGCATTTGATATGGTTCCATATGATATATTTTAAAAGAAAATTCAGTGATATGGGTTCAATTGGGCTACAAAAAAAAAAAATCAATAAACTACAACCTGTAGGATAGAAATATAAAAATCACCATTTTGGATCAAACTACTTGTCAGTCCAGTTCAGTGTCTCATCTCCAACAGTAGCCAGCACTGGTAGCTTCAGAGAAAATTTCAATGTCACCCCTGTTAGTTAGTGTCTGACTTATGAGATAAAGCATGAGAGTCCATAAAATATACTTATTCGATTTTAAACTTTTTACATTACGTATGGATGTTTTCTTTATTCACATAAATAATGTGTTTGAAACCCAGTAAATCTTGACTTCAGTGATATCTTGTAGCAATGAGTTCCAAAAGCAAGTAACATGTTTTATGAAAACAGTTCTTTTCTGATGTATAAAACTTTCCGCCTTTCAATTTTGTTTGATGCATGTTTGTTCCTGAACTAAGGGTAGGGAGAATAAAATACCCATTGCACCTTATTATACAATACCTTCTTTTGTATATCTTTAGCAGTAATTATTCGTGCTCCATTGTTAAACAGAAGTTCAGGCAAAGTTCAGGTATGAGTTCAATACTAGTTAATAGTTTAATTATCTTAATATATATTGGAGAAATTTAATTGTTACCAAATGTGCATATAATTTATTCTGGGTAACATCAATAGCATACTAACACATATTATTAGATATAAGTAGATGTTAATAGATGCATGGATTATATAAAAGTAGAAATGGGACCAGTTTGAGAGAGAGATTTAAAATATAGTTGGGTTTTTATCATTTGGAAGGACAGGTAAATTAAAGCTTTTGAAGGACTTGTTTATTATAAAGGTAAAACTACATAAAAGCCTATGAATTAACTAATTAATTACAAAACAGGAACCTCTATGGTCCAGCCTACTTATCACATTTCTTTCTCCTCCAATTATTACAAAATTTTATTGATAGTTGTCTTCCTTTTTTGCCTGTCTGATAAATCAATGTATGATTATATTCTTTCATTGCATTCCTGGCATCTGCTACATCATAATCACTTAGAAAATCTTCAATCTTGTTATTGATTACAAAGTTCTATCTTGTCCTTTTCTTCCTCTTGCTTTTACTCTTATTCCTCATACAATTCTTCATTCTTCCGCTTGCTTTTACTCTTATTCCTCATACAATCCCCATTTACCCTCAGTTTCATCTGAAGGGTTTAAATCTATGGGTGTCTGTAAATGAGCACGAAGGCTGCAGACGCACTGTAATTCATAGATTCGTAGATTCATAGATTGTAGAGTCGGAAGGGACCACAATGGATCATCGTGTCCAACCCCCTGCCCCTGGCAGGAAAAAGGACCGAGGTCAGATGACCCCAACCAGGTGACTATCTAGCCTCCTCTTGAAGACCTCCAAGCTAGGTGATAGCACCACCTCTCTTGGAAGCCCATTCCAGATCCTGGCCATCCTTACTGTGAAAAATTTCTTCCTAATAGCTAACCTAAATCCCCTCTCAACTAGTTTACACCCATTATTCCTAGTCACTTCCTGGGGCGCCTTAGTAAACAGCGCTTCCCCTATTCCCCGTTGACCTCCCCTAATAAATTTATAGGCGGCCACAAGATCTCCCCTCAGCCATCTCTTGTGAAGGCTGAAGAGATTCAGCTCTCTCAACCTCTCCCCGTAGGGTCTATCACGAAGGCCACTAATCATGCGAGTGGCCCTCCTCTGGACCCTCTCGAGATTCCCCGCGTCCCTCTTGAAGTGTGGCACCCAAAACTGGACACAGTACTCCAACTGCGGCCTGACCAGTGCCGCATAGAGGGGGAGCATCATCTCCCAATTATGACTCCAAGATCCCTGTCTGCCTCCGAGCTGCTGAGAAGGACACTCCCCAACCTATAGGTGTGCTGGGGGTTCCTCCTTCCCAGGTGGAGTACCTTACATTTATCTTTATTAATTTGCATCCTAATTACAGTAATTATAATTAATTAAATTACATCCGAATTACAGTAATTACAGTGTGTTGCAGTAGAATCAATTAATTGAGTTGTCTGGAGTGTGGTAATTACCAATTTCCGGCAGCCGCCCATGCCTTGTACATCAGCATCCCTGCGCTTTAGTCCCCTTGTTGAACAAGCTCTAGTTCAAGTGCCCCTGCTGCCACTTATAACCACAGGGACATATTTTTTGAGATGGTATGAGAAGTGATGGTTGGAGATAGTTTTGAGAAGTATTCTGTGAATCAAGTATGTTTCACCCCACACCCCAATATATCCTGTTGAACTGGGCTACTGTATAGTCTAGAACAGGGGTCAGCAATGTTTTTGGGCAGACTGCCAAAAAACACCCTAACCTTAACTTGTAAGATGTTGGTGTGCTGGGGCAGATGGCAGGGGAAT